CCGAGCCGGAGGAGGAGGACCAGGAGGAGGACGAGGAGGAGGAGGAGACTGCTCCCAGTGCAGCCTCACCGTCGCCAGGGAGAGCGGGGCAGCCTGCTCCACCACTGCGGCCACTCCGGCCGGCGACCGCGCGGCGTCCTGCAGCAAGGTGCTTCCCTTCGCCCCAACCCCTCTGCATTCTTCTCCCGCTCCCTCCCTGTTCGCCGCACCCACCCGCTCCCCCTTTTCGCTGCGGGACCCCCTCCAGCCCGGCGACCGACGGCGATTCAAGGCGGCGGCGGCTGCCAGCGAGGTTACTCCCGCACCACCTCGTCGCTCGTCCCATCCGCTTGCCAGATCCTAGGTTTTGGCCCCCACTTTGCGTCGTACGAGCGAACCCTAGGTTTTGTTCGTGAGATGAAATAGGGCTGCTGTTGAGGGGGGATTTGGGAGAGGAGAGGCATAATGGGCCACATTATGTGTGGACTAATCGATTTCTGGTAGCATCGGTCAAGCCGTCTGTGTGCAAACTGCAAAGAGCGAAATCTCTCCGCCTCCTAACTGTCTATGTTGTGTGCTGGAACAACGGAAAGAAGGACCAAAGTTGCCTTTTCCTTGGCCGGGTAAAAAGGGTTAATTGATTTTTTTTGGAGTCAAAGTGTTAATTGATTTTGTGATGTGAAGAACGAGGAATTCAGTGAAGTACTGTACTCTAGTGTGCAGAAACTCATTGAATTACTCCAGTTTGCAAAAATTCTATACTCCAGTATTTGTTAATTTTGAAGTACATCTATCTAGCTTAAATGGAGTAGCTTAAAATTAACTAAACCCATGTGTGCTTGGAGTAATTAAAATTAACTTGTGCTTGTGCAGCAATGTCCTCTCTTCCTCTCTTCTTTTTAGTAAAGTGTAGAAGTAATTAAAATTAACTGAGACCATTTGTGTTAATTAAAATTAAATGGAATCTCTCTTTTCCTTTACTCTGAAGGCTTATGTTCATCTAACTGTCCCGCAGTGAGGTGTTGCAATCTGCACTAGAGCTTGTGCAGTTTAGAGAGTTGACAGGGACAGGTGATTAGGCACAAGGAGATCAAGATCCAGAAGTTCAGAACACTAGCCAAGGCTTTTGAACACCAGGTACTGTACACTTGCTGACTTACATAACCAAGCATTATATAAGGATCACAAACTTTGTCCCTGTTGAATCTGTTGATGCCCAAAATTTGAAAGAAATGCTTTTCCAGGAAATCAATTTATTGTTTGTATATAAACTCTGTGAGATAATCAATTGTTGTTGGTCCCTTTGTATGTCAAAACTGTATGTCAAAACTCAAAACTGAAAAACTATCAAAACTACTCATGCTAAATTTTCCATCAGACTGTGTCTACATATTGCTGTCAAAATATCATAGTAATGATCATCTAGTCAAATGTGTGCACAGATTGCTGTTACATGTTCATTTTGGTCATTTAGTGAGATAATGGTCATTTTGGAGATGCCATATGAAGATTTTAGGGTCATTTTGGAATAATGGTCATTTAGTAATGTGAAACATTGACTATTACTATGGCAAGTATTGTGTCAAGTACTCCATATGTTTTTGTTGGCAAAATCATGAAATTGTGTTTATGGTCATTTAGTAATTCAGTCAAATATTGTCTCAAATCTGTGGAGTACTGGAACTGGGACTAGTAGTATTGTGTCATTCTCTTCTCTTCTCTGAAACTGTAGCATTTCAGTTTAACAGTGGATCTCTGTGGAACTGTGTAGCATTTCAGTTTAACAGTGGATCTCAAAATTGGATGCTCCCGACGTGCTAGCAGCGGAGTGGCTCCCGACCTAGGTGTTAGAGGTGCAGCATATGTGCAATTTTGACCACTGACTATAACAAATTGTTTGAAATATAGACCACTATGTGGAGGAATAACTCTAGTGAGTGATTCTTGCGATGGGGAGGGACAAAGATAACATATTAAATAGATTGATTGTTCTTACATTTTAGTGATAACATATTAGCATTCTTGCTATGGGGTGGGACAGTGATAACATTTAGCTAGATAGAATATATGCACATTTGGTCTGCTTCTGCTAGTTTTGATGTTTCCCGTCTTCCGTTTACGACAAGAGATTTTGTCTATAGAAAAGCATATCGGCAGCTGTTCATGTATTGTCTGGACTAAAGAATCCCCAAGTCGTCCGGATATATGTTTGAATGCTAGATGGTTCATGCATATTTCTATCTACTTCCTCTAGAATTAGATGGATGTATATATGTCTGTCTACTTCTTCTAGAACTAGTGTATTACCAAGATTCCAACACTATTTATGCAGTATCCAGATTGAAAATACCAAGTAGCATTTTGCATTCTCTTTCAGATTCAATGTGACTAGAATTCACTTGTTCTTATATGGGTGAAACTTCACTTGTTTTTAAGCTAGTGTAGGGTGTTTGCTTCATTCTGTCATCATTTGTAACTATGTCACAAATAAATTGTTCCTTCTTCTTTATTTGACAAGTAATGACTGTTGATAAGCTGAGGCATGGATTAAGCTGTTTCTTTGCTCTGAATTACTTGTGATGCCTCTGAATTACTTGTGATCACATTGAGAAAGACTTGTAAAGATGATGATCATCTTTTACAGAAAAAAATTTCTGATGATTTTGCTAGTTTGCTCGGTTTTGCCTCCGACCATCGTGTCGTGATGATTGTGCAGGTACCCTGAGAGGCCCTTGAGTTTGTCGGAATGTCGATTAACTTCCGTTCCGACAAATTCGGGTACTCCATATGTCCTATTTTCAGCAAAGGTCATGCTGAAATTTTCTGTGAATTTTAGCACGACTTTCCTAAAAATAGGACATATGGGGTACTTGCGACTAATGCCTGTTATCATGCATGTTTTATGATCTGTTGTAAGGGTACTAATTGGTCTCTTCTGCTGCTTATCAGAGGTGGCGGGAAGCAGCCACCACCGCTCTGCGACACCGCAGTACGAGTTGGATGCTTCCGAGTTCTTCACTATCATACTTGAGACTTCAGTATCATCCATGACGCAGGTATATAAAACGAGAGATCTCCCCTTCACCCATCTCATTATGATATCTGTTGTTTGCTACATCACTCGTTGTCCCAAACTGCAGAGGCTGCCTGACAGTTTTATGAACATGCTGATGGGTGAAGATCCGCCAAATAATGTGAAGCTGCGACAGGCCGGCAGCGGGTTTCGCAGGCAGTGGGATGTGGAGTTGGTGATCAAGGAGGGCCACATGTACTTGTCTCGTGGGTGGGAGAAGTTCTACCGTGCCTACGACCTGCGACTGGGGTACTTCCTTCTCTTCAGGTACGACGCCGCCGCCACCATGCTCATCGTGAAGGTGTTCAACACTTGTCGCATGCGCTACGCTAACGATGATGATGCCGGTATGTTCTGCCTATTCTTATTCCTCTACATTTGGCTTTGTCTCGTATCGATTGTTAACGGTCATTGTTGCATTTTGGACAGGTAATGGGAGCAGCAGCAGCGACACTGGCACCAGTGATTCTGGCACCAGCGATTCTGGCTATAGCGAAAGCAGCAGCGATTCTGGCTGTAGCGAAAGCAGCAGCGATTCTGGCAGCAGCATAGACAACAAGAAGGATGATCCGGACTGGAGTGCGGGAGAAGAGGAGCAGAGTGGGGATGAGGAGCTGCAGGATGACGATGGGCATCAGGCTGAGGATGACCTAGCGCTGGTGGTGGTTGACCAAGGGCAAGAGATGGTGGTGGCTGACCATGGGCAAGAGATGGAGGTGGCTGAGGATGACCTAGCGATGGTCGTGCCTGAAGGTGGCCTCGCGATGGTGGTGGTGCCTGACAATGACCACGCACCGGTGGTGGCGCCGGCGATCCCACAATTGGGCGACATGACCACGCCAATTGTGGTAGAAGACTACATCCCACTGCCTCCATTGCCTCCACCGCCTCGCCGCTCTTGGCGCATCAGGCTGAGGAAGGAGAAGGAGAAGGAGAAGAACAATGCATGAGAACTAAACTTTGTCAGGTATGTCAGATCTCCAAAATGATATATATATATATATATACTTAGTTACCTATGTTATCTCTAATATGCTTAGTTTCCTATAGGTTAGCTTCATTTTATCTAAGTTGGCTCTAATATGCTAACTTAGAGCTTAATTATATGCTTAGTTTCATATAGATTAGCTCCAAAATAACTTATGTTAGCACAAAATGATCAAGTTTACATAATAAGCTTATAGTCTTCTTCTTATTCTTCTTCTTTTCCAAAATGACATAGGTTAGCTTCATTTTACCTAAGTTGGCTCTAATATGCTAACTTAGAGCTTATATGCTTAGTTTCCTATAGGTTAGCTCCAAAATAGCTTATGTTAACACAAAATGATCAAGTTTACATAATAAGCTTATAGTCTTCTTCTTATTCTTCTTCTTTTCCAAAATTCTTCTTATTCTTCTTCTAGTGTTCTTCTTCTTCTAGTATTCTTCTAGTCTTCTTCTTCTTCTTCTTCTAACTTGTTTATCATTTTGCATATTTGATTTAATTCATGGAAGCTTGCATGGATGGAGTGTTTCTTTTCTATTTGTGTTTTTATTTTGTATCAATGTGAAACTTTTGTGAATTGATGGATAACGGTGTTGGATGAACAATGTGAAACTTTTGTAATATGTAATGATGGAACTATGTGTTGGCTATGTATGTATATATGATGGAACTTGTGTGTTGACTATGATTGTTATATAGATGCTTGTTGTATATATATGTGTTGGATTTCTCATATGTGAAATAGTGACCTGACATTAAGAAAAAAAATTAAAAAAATTGTTACTAATGGCGCACTATCATGTGGTGGCCATTAGTATAGCAGACACTAGTGGCGCACTGCGTGGTGCGCCATTAGTACATCAGATACTAATGGCGCACCAGTGGTGCGCCATTAGTAAAAAATACTAGTGGCGTGATACTAATGGCGCACCGGTAGTGCGCCACTAGTAGGCAAAACCAGTGCGCCATTAGTAGGCCTTTTCCTAGTAGTGCGAGTGAAGTCCTCTAGACTCCAGCTCCACCTTCAACATGACTCCATGGTGATTGTACTTGCCACCCCGCACCCCGTCGGCTCCAAGCTCTCATGTGCACCGTCTTGAATCAACCTCGCGCCATAGCCTTGCTGAAGCCACACAAGCCCTCGGGGCCTGCGCCACGTGTTTCCACGCCCCAGAAGTCGGTCACCATCAGCATCACGCTCCTATGTCGCCACCGCTGATCCCGCACCCTCTTCTGTACCAACCGACATCCAAGTCGATCCGTCAGACTGCCTAGTCCGACCCAGCCGAACTCGTTCAACTGTATGACACGCTCAAGGCTCCCAAATCGTCTTCACGAATTTACATTCAACACATGATAATTCCATCTCAGCTAACATGACTTCCCGCAACGCCTTCAAGCATCCTCATTGTGCCAACAAATCTTTCACCCTTGTCTGCCATAACCCAAGGTTTTCAGTTATGTGAACTTCTCCACCTTAAACTTGGTACCCGATGACGCCACAGTTTTTTGTACGGCTGACCCTGCGAAAAATTATCCATCTAAGCTTCCAAACACGATGCCCTGCATTCCGGATGCACATAGCAAAACACAAACTCTTTGTACACTTCTCGTGTGCAAGCAACAGAAACACCAGATCAAAGATTGATTGAATTTTGCTACTCACGAGAGCTCCTGTACTAGTACTTGATGCTTCACCAAAAAACTTTTGGAGTGCTGCTTCAATTTCTGCCTGGGGGCACGAACCAATGCTAGCTTTGCTTTGCCCTGCTCTCCTCGATGGTTCTATATCATGCTGATCTTCTTTTCTCGCTCAAAACAATATGTTGCCTTGCGTCGTATGCATGAGGACTCGGTCCTCTTTTTTTTCTCAAAACAAATCTCAGGAGTGCAGCCACAACACATCGAGGCGATCTGGCCTGCTCCGCTAAGCCTCTCAACGCGATGCCTGGGCAACCTACCCTAACTCGCGTAGCTCCATGGATCGCCGCCGTCGTCGAAGATGGCTTGCATGTACGCATTGCTGCTGTCCTCTGCAGCCTGCACCGCTCGCCCGACGCTCTCCGGCTCCTCAGCCGGACAACGCATTTGCACCTAGCCACGGTGGCCCACGAGGCCTTGATCTCCAGCGTCACGCGCCCGACATAGGCCTCCTGCCTCCATAGCAGGCGCCTCGCGCTTCCGCGGCGTAACGTCCCACACTGCGACAAGGTGCTGCTACAGCCGACCACGATCCTCTTCCAACCTTGCTCGCCTCCTGGACCTTGTCAACCTGATACCACTTGTTAGAACAAATCCGAGGCCACCGTCGATCTTCCGAGGACCAAGCAATCACACAAGCACAACACCGAGATTTGTTAACAAGATTCACCGATATGGCTACATCCCTGGGGCTTGACTATGGGCGCTCCTCCCCATGACACCGCTACAGCGACCATGCCATTGTCAAGGATTCCCTGTAGTCCAATCATGCCTTGCCACTTCTTAGATTAACTGAGACTAAGGCAAGTAAGACCGGGGCAGTTTTGAATTTTCTGACCTTATAAACCACGGCAAATCCGCCACGTCCAATTTCATTGTCATCGGAGAAACTCCTTGTGATGCCTTCAAGAAGTGGCAACGGCAGACCCCTCGGTTGTTTGGTTTCATCCAACAGCATACACTCCAGGTCGATTCGCGCACTAGCTTGGCGATCCATTGCCGATTAGATAACCGTAGTACCCCTGAAACAAGAGCAGCTCTTGAGGCCACGGGTGCCCTTGAAACAAGAGTGCGAGAACGTTTTCATTTCATACATAACATGATTATAGGTCCGTGATTGCTCTTCCTTTTTCCAAACAGAAGAAACACCATCTTCTCAAGGGAAGAGAACACGGAAATTACCTGGAGTCTGCTACCACCGTACAAAAAGTACAGTAACTCTTCTTCCCTTCCCTCTCAGTAAAGAAAGAAGCAGAATTCGCCTGGAGAAGCCCGGCTGTGTAGCCAGGTTAGTGATGAAGACGAGTATCAGATCAATGTTATCCGCAGCTGGGAGACGGGCGGGCTGTCCAACGGAACTATCAAATGGAGGAGACAGATCTGCATCTGCTTCCAAACAACTAACCCACCCGCTGTATAATTAATTATTATTATGCGAGATCTTACATTACCTAGATGATTGTTTGCTCAAACTTCAAACAGAAAAGCTAGATGAGTGTTTTCTTACGATTTAGTTCACGATGGACATGTCTATGTGTGACGTACTGAACCGCATTATTATCTACACAAACCTTTTCTTTCTTTTTGGAAAGCCCCGAATCACTGAGATGCTTTCTGTCGGTCCGGCATTCTTTAATGCTCCACCAAACCGAGGAAGAGATGAGAGTCCTTCTTGAATACATCAAATCTGATTTGATTCGTGTATTAAAAAAGAAAATGATTCCACCCCCCCTTTCTAAAGAAGAGCCTGCCTAACATTGTCAAAGACAATTAGGAAATCTCCGTTCACATGCCCCCAGGGACTAGCTTCCCAGAGCTGCATCCATCGTTGTTGAACCCTTGAATCGATCCGAAGCACCTGGCATTAATAGGCATGTACTGACAACAAGAAACCTTAACCTTGCCGCCCTGAAGAGTCGATATGAATCTACGCCGGAGCCCCATCGAATCTGTCTAGATGGATAAACTCGAGGAGGATCAGAGCCTCGTCGAATCCATCTCAACAAGAATCTGCGAGGACTAAAACACTAACCTATCTCCTAGTCGGGTTGACGCATCAAGATTCCCCTGCCTAGTACAAACCACCGGACCGGCAGACATAGGGGGATGAATCCATGGGCTTGACGAGTGGTTGTTTCCACCTTAAATCTGAAGTTGTAGCTTTGTTCTAAGTTGAATTTTTTGAAGTTCTGCCAAATCAATAAAAATAGTAGCATTTACAATACCAAAATATTTTCATTAGATTTGTCGTATTTGATATTGTAAAACTATTAACATTTTTTTTGATAGATTGTTCATATATACTTGGCCAAACTAATATTTTTTAACATAGGGAGAAACAAAACTAAAATGGCAAAGTTCCTCTGTAGCTCGAGCTCTACGTTACCCATTATCTTGTCCGTCTATTTCACATTGAGATCTATGCACCTGGAGCATCAATAACATCATAACCTTTGCATGCAGCGATTAGTAGCTTGCATGGACTGTAGTATAGTGCAGTGTACATGCACGTGATGGAGATGGCTAGAGGCACAAGGAAAAGTAAAATAAACAAAAGGATTTTCGGTGGGATCTTCTGTGAACCCAATGCAATTTTCTTAGGCTGAATTACATCAAGCCTCGTGGCTTTGTGTACAAATAATCTCGAAAAGTATGCGCCACAGCAGGTCCCCATGTCCTGCATGCTTTACTGTTTGAGAGAGAGTAAGAAGAGACATCACGAGAGAGAGAGTCAGAGATAAAGTCCTTTTTGTTTTTTAGAAAACTCGGCATGCAGCACAAACGGTCGCCTCCCCTGACAGGCTGACACACACTCTCTTTTTTTTCTATTCCAGGAGCTCCGAGCATGTGACACTGTTGGCGCTGCACATCATCTGTCAACATGCATGTCGGACACAACTGTGTCAGAAGATTAGTGAGTACATCCTGCAGATGCACTGTTGACATGTCAGTGTCTTGCACATATCTCAACGGGGCTCAATGGCCTAGATAAGAGGTCCATGAAGCTCGAGCTATATAAAACCACTCTCAAACAAAAAGCAAAAATGTCTCACAAAGTTGACAAACTTATTTTGAGACGAAGGGATCAAGGAGCAATTGATTACCAACACTATACCCACACGTGACTCGTGAGCATCAAGACTTGGTAATTTTTTTCAGAGACAAGGCCTTTTGATCCTGCTTTATAGAAAGCAAATCGCACCATGGCTCACGCACACAGAAGCACTGCCTCCTATCTCAATATAGTACTCCCTCCTTTCCATAATATAAAAGGGCAACCTGGTGCATGTAGCTCCTGCTTGCGCAGGGTTCAGGGAAGGGTCCGACCACTTTGGGTCTATAGTACGCAGCCTTTCCCTACATTTCTATAAGAGGCTGTTTTCAGGACTTGAACCCATGACCTCATGGTCACAAGGCAGCAGCTTTACCACTGCGCCAAGGCTCCCCTTCCTCCTTTCCATAATATAAGAGCGTTTTTACACTACACTAGTGTTAAAAACGCTCTTATATTATGGGACAGAGGAAGTACTACTGTACTTTCTAGGCAAAGAAATATTCAAGGTGAGCCATGATGATGCGCCCCATAATTACCCTGAAGCGTCTTTTTTCATAAACTACGATTATATTTATATAAAAAAATCAGGGAACCACCTCTCGAAACAGGATCTTGCCCGCTTTAAATCAAAGTACATTTTGAATATGGCTGCCACGAAGCATATAGTTGGTGTATTCGCAAAAAAAAAGAGCATATAGTTGGTGGAGAACGGATGACAATTGACAAGTACAGGCAGCCAAACTGAACATCATCCTTATTTTTATGGAGAAAATTGTGACAGATACATCGCATCCCCTCCCTTCTTCACCACTGCGGCTCCCTCTTCCACCTCCAACGCAAAGACACGAGAGGCCTAGCTAGGTAGGTAGCTTCCCCATACCCTGAAGGCATGGCCGCCAAGAACCCTTCCTATTTCCAAACTACTACTCTTCAGCAAGAGATCCAGCCAAAGGAGCTTCACTTCCACTTGTACATGTTCCAGCACTGGCGCGACCGTCAACAGAACCAGCAAGTTATAACTGACCTTAAGCACCCCAATAATTTTGGTCTCAGCGCTGTTAATGACTGGGCCATACGGGATGGTCCTAACCCCCAAGCAAAAATTGTTGCGCGTGCCCGAGGCCTGCATTTCGGGACCGCTATCGACGAAACTGTCTATTTTCACTCTTTCGTCATAATTTTTACCGATGAGAGGTTTGTCAATATCTTTTCTATTTTGTATACTTTTTAAAAAATTGTACTGAAGTTTTTTCCCCATTGTTGATATTGCCCGCATATTCTTAATTCAATACCCATTGATCTTTTAATTCCCCATGCATGCATATTCTTAGCCTTCTCATTAATCTTGCGCGATACTTAGGTTCAAGGGATCCAGCCTTCATGTGCTCGGAACTGCGAAGGCTGGCAGTCCAGATGGTGAATGGGCGATCACCAGTGGGACCGGAGAGTTTGCCTTCGCACAAGGTGTTGTTGATCACAAAATATTCGGGAGAGACCACGCTTCTAATTTCAGGGAGCTTCATATCCGTGTTTTGTGCCTCGCCTTTCCAAAACCAGTGAGTGAGATAAATTCATCCAATGCCTTCTTTTACTCTAGCTAGCTTTTAATTAGGAAAATTTAATATACACCTAAATGTTTATTGGGCTATTCACTTTCTCTAGAAACTGGCATTTTTCGACATCAATATGCTCTCCAAGTATCACTTGGACACTTAATTTCTATTACAACATATTTAAAAGTACAAAAGAGCAAGAATTTTTTGAGATAAGTTCATACACATTACTTCCAAATTTCTGACAAAAATATTTGTAAATACATTCGTTGTTAAATTTCCTAATTTTTGACTATTTGTAATGATATTAACTGTTAGATTTTACAAGTTTGATTGTGCTCTTGCCTAAAAATGATAACTTTTACAAGACCATACTAAGTAGGAGGTTATATTTTAGAAATGACCCTATCATGTTAGTATACATTTTCCGCTGCCTTTTATGCAAAGAATGTATGAGAAATGCAAATGATGTCGGTGACTCAACGCTAGCATGAATTCGTACTACTGACTTTGGATGTATCATAGCTTGTGAGAATGTGGACGTTGACATACAGATGATCGAGTTCGGCTAAAAACAATAGAGAGATAACTTAGTGGAATGGGCAATAAAATTAACATAAAGATACATGTTTTAAGATTATGAATCCTTCGAGTGTTTTGCCTGTTTGCATCTGTTTCTTTAAGTAAAAGAATAGCATGAGACAAAGTTCACCTGGCAAGCATGCTCACAAATTAAATGCTCTAGAAATAAAACAACATTTCGGGTCATCTCCTACACCCGTTGCATGAAATAAACTGGCATTAACCGGACTCTCCATCTCAAACACCATATATCTCGCGGCATAACATCACCACATTTAGAGGAAGTTCCGACGTCCGAACACTTGCCAATGGCAGGCATTTTGCCCATTCTATTGAGATAGAAAAGGCGAAAACAATACATAGGTTATGTACATATACATGACTTGGCGACCAGGAAAAGAAAAATTAAAGATAAAACAGCTACCAGATTTACATTGTTGCCCGAACACTTGCCTTCTCCATGTGAGGTCCTCCACTAGACTACAGGCCACCTGCAACACAACTATGAACATCCCTTGAAAGATATACAACATTTGCGCTCAAAGCCAATCCATATATTCTGGAGAAATGTTTGCATCAGACAGTTAGGATTTAAACTTCGTCTCACCTCTGTACAAATAGGTTGGAACATCTTCAAAGAGCCCCTTAATTGTAGCCTGCTAATAATTTGCCCATACACAAGTGTAGGTAGTTTGTTCATCTTTTTTTTTCTTGCTGAAACAAGATGTTGTTCCTTCGCCTATATTTGTAGGTCCTTGTCACCAAGATTGGACCATGGGGTGGGCATGGAGGAAAAGAATTTGATATCCCAGAGTTGGTACCTCAACATCTAGAAAGTGTGACAATTAGAAGTGGTGTTGTCATTGACTCCATTGCGTTCTCCTACGTTAATCAAGCTGGAAAGAAGCAAACTCTTGGTCCATGGGGTGGTGATGGTGAACTTAGTGACACGGTGAGTGAATGTGCACCACAATGCTATTCTATCAACTTTTGCGGAGAATATAATCGATTTATCTCTTTCCTTGTAGATCACTTTTGCCCCTTTAGAGATTGTGAAGGAAGTTTCGGGAACAACCGGTACTTTTGGTGGAGATACTGTTGTGACATCGCTTACTCTCGTCACAAATGTGAGGACATATGGACCTTTTGGAAAACCAAGCGGTAATGATTTCAGTGTCCCTCTTACGGACACTAGCGTTGTGGCTTCTTCGTCCGTGCTGGAAGACTTATTAACGCGATCGGGGTTTATGCGCGTCCTTCTGTTCAAAATTATTAGTATGTACGTTGTTCAAGAATAACCAGAGCTCTTGAACGGGCTGGCATGTTATGGGTTGCACTGATCTCATGTATTACTACTTGGTTTTCCTTTCAGGGTTTCATGCATTTGTTACATGTTATATGTATGGCTACTAGCACAAATCAGGCAGTCTCACGCGTGTGGCCGTGTTGAACTTTCTGGATTTAAATTAACTAGATGACTCGTTGCGCCAATGGCGCAAAGGTCGAGAGGGAGCCAAGTATTATGAGAATATTTAGACACTCAAGTCGAAAATCAAATGTGGCCAACATTCCCGCATCCTCTGCTTGGAAGACGCCTTTTCTCACCGGATCTAACATAGATAAATGATTCTTCAAGAGCAAATTTCAGAGAAAATATAAAGCAACACTCCCGCATCCTCTGCTTGGAAGACGCCTTTTCTCACCGGATCTAACATAGATAAATGATTCTTCAAGAGCAAATTTCAGAGAAAATATAAAGCATGGAAGGCTTTAAGTTGTACTATTGAGACCATACCACCATATCTTCTTTTAGTTTCTTTGGAAATCTAAAGGTCTAAGAGGACGGTACATGTGAGAAGCTGTGAATCCACAACAAAAAACTAAACTAACTTCCAAACAAACATTTCAAGTTTGGAAGCCACAAAGAAACAGCCCAGATCTCTCGTTGTAGTACAGGTTCAAGAAAATGGGCCGAATGACCATCACAGCAACATGTAGAAGCAGCAAAAATATAGGCTTGGTGTGTAACTGATCATGAAAGATAGTTTGATCAGTTTCTCCATTGTTGGCTTATACTGAGCAAGAACATCAGCCTGCAGAGAAGAAAAATGGAGGACTGCTTTATTCTGCGGTACATCCACAATACTACAGCAAATAAAGTAGTTAAATGTGCACTAAGATGTAAGACCTTTTAGATCACTATTTTAGTGATGTAAAAAGTAAGCGGTGATCTAAAAGCTCTTGTATTAGTTTGAAGTGGGAGTACTTAATAAGACTGTAAGCCAGTACATCAAAGTAATGCCGGCTTCCCATTGATTTGATCAAATCAATATGACAAAGGGAAGGCGAAACTTCAGAAGATCATATAAATTGAAAGCGATGTCTTAATTTGAAACTCTGAAATGAAGTAATAAACATTAAGTCTGAATGTTGTCACTAAAAAAGCATAAAAAAGGCATACCAGCCAGCAGTGCATCATAATTAGTGGTTCATCATGGGCAAACCAGGTAGCAGTAGCCTAATAACTTAGACGGAAAAAATGCAAGAAGTCAAAGCACAAGGTGGGAAATAGGACCGAGCATTGACAGGTAACCAAATAATGAAGGAATATCCCCAGAGGATGCAAGAAGTGAGAGAGGAGCACCTAGCAGAGGTTTGTGGACTACCTCTTTATGCCACACCATATCCACATCCCTAGCGCTTGAAGTACTTGCTGCTATTGCCATCTCTACCTTATTTCCTCCATTGCCGGTTCGTGGACTACCTCTTCAGGACACGCCGAATACATATCCTCTCCTTCACCAGCTGGTAGTCTCGCCCTTCAATCATGCCACTAACAAATAAAAAGAGAAAACTATGATCAAGTTGATAAGTCTTACGACTGTATGTGAGGAAAGCAAATAATTCATGCTTGTCAATACCATAGTGTACAATTCTAGCAGAAAGCACATCATCGTTCTGGAAGAAAATAGGTGGAAGCATAAGAAAGCAATTAAACAATCTCTCCAGAGGCACTCACATGGTAAAATCCAAAACATCGAAAGCAATATATTATTTTTGCGAAATGTACAGGATTCAAGAAACTGAGTAACATCAAAAGTAGTCTGCTATCCATATCCAGAACTCCAATTCTTACATACTCGCTAAAAGTTTTATTGGTTGAGATCATTTTTGGATCACCCACCAGCAAGTATGCATGGTTCATATGTGAAGAGAAACTGACAATTAAAACCAATAACCAATTAGCCAACACATGAAAAACTATCCTAAACCACTATGACTACTATTCACCAATACCATAGATGATAGCACTATGCTATAAGTTTCTTCATGATTCACCATATAAAAAGATTATACCTCTTCTACATAGCAGCACAAGACGTTTACGCAAGGAAGGAAAAGAATAAGTTTAATTTCTTTTCACCTATTTCTTATCAATGGAGATGGAAAGTGCTCTAGTCTATTTTTAATGTTTTATCTTGTCCACCTATTTGTAGATAGGCCTTTTTGTAACATGACAACCTGAAATTTATTAAGAGACATGAAACTTTTATTATATGATCGAAAGAACAAAAGTAAGTAAATATTTGCTACAAGTACCTGACAGGAACAAGTGCAGCCTCAGTCTTTTTCAGAAGGCTAGTACATATTACAAACCAGGAAACGATTGTTGAAATATGTGCTATGATGCAGTTTCTGAAACACGGTTTCATGGTTGGCCATGATAAGTGTCAAATGTTTTCTCCTTTTTATTCGGGGTCCATTAGGGTCATAGCTGATGGTACCTTATAAACAGAATTTTCAGAACAGATTGCAGCTTGTATAAGATAGACAGGTTTAGTTAGTATCATATTTAATCGAAAAGCAAAATAATCATTTAACTATTTACATGTCTAGATCCAAGGTTTGAGAAATCAATAAAGTGCCCTCCCTAGAAATCACAGTGGAAGCAAGTAAATAACCCAAGCTTGGTGTCGCACCACAATAAAGAGGATCATAAAGGGAAAAAAATAGAGGATCATACAGAATAATCAGGAATCTGTACACACAACTTACTACAGTTTACTCATGCTTCAGAATCAATCAACATGCTTGATGCCGCACCACAATAAGTAGCACATGGATATTCTAACTCACAGGACAACCTATATAATGTCGTCTTGCCTTGCATTTGCCCTCTCATTGCATCGACCACCAAGGTAACATAAAAAAGCACGCCAACCAAGATAACCAAATCATGGACTTGGATAGGAAAATCAAAGAGAGGGAAAACCTATGGATGGGTTAGATAGCAAGTCGCCGGCGAGGGCGCCCAGGTCTAGCCGACAACACCCGGCCCCACACACAGTTCGGAAGCACTCTACCACATAATCAGATGGCATGAAAGTACCAACAACCAAACCGAATAATCCACATGAATGGTTGTGAATGAAGGCAGAATCATATGCATCTCACAACTAACAAATTTAACTGATAATTCAAGATACTAAAGATCTGCTCTACATTTTCGACAGTGAAAATAGTAAAGATCTCGAATGCAATAAAACAACAAGGAAGCAAACAAGTTGCACATGATTTAAATTACATCGCGTAACTTCTAAAGTTTTCCCATTATATGACAACCTTCTTCCCAGCAAGAGTCATTATAGTATTTAGATATCTTGTATAAAAAAGATCAAGAACTAAAAACTACATTCGGCAAGACATCCTCTCTACAAAAGGAAATTCCCAGAGCAAACATTAGCCGATTCAGTGCATATCTCCAAGGCTCATGTAAGGAAATTGTCAAAAAGGAGTGAACTGGATTGGAAGGAGCTGCAATACCTAAGGATGGGTTGGAGACTGCGAGGTCGACAAGGACGCCTATCGAAGCATGTTTCTTCTGTCATAAGCTTTTATTTTACTTCGTCATGAAGCTGTGAAAAAAGCCATCTCGGTATGAGCTTTTGAGCTTTAAACCAACCATTTTCATGAATAAATTAGTTGCTTCAGTTCTGTTGGGTTGTATCATATAACAAAGAACAAAACAAAATAGAAGTTTCTCTACCAATGTTGTAATTGTCTTGAGTAAATGGAAGTTAAGATAAATGAGAATCCTTGAGGCAAACACAAATTAAGAAATCAGCCACCGCAATCCTCAATGTCCGGTGTTCCTCTCTCTATGGCCAGGCATTAAAACCAAAACAGCCTAACCAGCCTAAAGCAAAAAATGGAAAACACGACATCCTCTATTGTAGAATTAAGAAAAATATGCTCTCCGGGGATAGATTGGTTCACCTTGAGGTACAGAATAATTCGAACTCCTACAATCTAACACAGCTAATCCATCAAAGAACGTATATACATTACCTACAATCGAACACAACTGATCCATCGAAGAATAATGTATATACAGGAAAGGCTAATCTAACACAAAGTCTAAAAGGTAAACTAAACCTGCATCCAGTTGATAGAAAAGAAAAACAATCTACAACTTAGTGTGTAAATTATGAAAAAAATACAGGGAATGATGGGGGCAGAAGGTTGCAACCGGCCTGGAGATGGACACCATGCCACCACTGAAACTCAGTGTAGGAATCAAGTGCAACCCAAACACTATGTGCATAATTAGAAAAAAAAGGAAGTATGAGCCCAGTTCACCATGGGAAGATGAGGAAAGGAGGAAGAAAGAGCTCACCGCTGTGTTGCATCTCTCCTCCATGAACTGGCAACCGTCCTTGACCTCTCCCCCTCTGCACGCAACCACCGGGGTGGGGACCCTGCTGCCCTCACTGCAGCAACCGCTCCTTCTCGACCTGCGACCGATATGGAATCATGGCGTGCGGCGACCCCCGAAGATGGAGAGGGAGGGTGGAGGCCATGGCAAAGGCAAGGACGCCGGGGAGGGGCAGGGAAAAGAGGGACGCGAGAGAGGCGGCGGGGGGCGAGGCACGACCTCCGTCGCGCCACCATGACCACGGCCTCCTCCTCCTCACGCATCTGCCCCTGCCACCATGACTCTCTCCGTACCTGGATCTCGGGGAGGATGCATCTGGAGAGGGACAC